TTTTTTATTAACAACAAATAAATAATGAATAAAATCAAATAATTAAAATAATCGTAAGTAATGCTTCAAACTATTTGTGTCATGTTATAATTTTTTTGGATTGAGTTTCAATTTTTTGGGTGACTCCGATTCGCTAGATCAAAAAAATTCTACTGTAAAAAAATAATCAATATTTTATAAATAGTCTCATTTTTTATTAATAACAAATAAATAATGAATAAAATTAAATAATTAAAAAATTGTAAATAATGCTTCAAACTATTTGGGTCTGAGTTTTAACTTTTTTTGGATCGGATTTTAATTTTTTGGGTGAGTCGGATTAGGTAGATCAAAAAAATATCCAAAAATATTCAATATATTTCGATAGGGGTTCTAACTTTTTTGTTAGGGGTTGCAATTTTTTTGGGGTGATTCCAACTTTTTTGGGTAGGGGTTCCAACTTTTTTAGGGTAGTTTCAACTTTTTTGGGTAGGGTTCCAACTTTTTTAGAGTAGGTTCCAATTTGTTTGGATACGGGTTCTAACTTTTTGGATAGAAGTTCCAACTCTTGAGGGGTTCCAGCTTTTTTGGAGGTTCCAACTCTTGGGGTTGGGTTCTATCAGGGGGTTCCAACTTTTACAGTAGGGTTTCTAATTTTTTTGGTAGGGGTTCAAACTTTTTTGGGGTGTGTTTCAATTTTTTTGACTGAGATTATTTGTTAAATCGTACTGCTAGGGAAGGGGTTCCAATTTTTTTGGGTAGAGGTTCCAATCTTTTGCGTAAAAATTTCAACTCTTGGGGGAGAAATTCAATTTTTTTGGGTAGGGATTCCAACTCGTGGAATAGGGGTTCCAACTTTTTTGGGGGATGAGTTCTAATTTTTTTGGGTAGGAGTTCCAATTTTTGGGGGAGGGATTCCAACTTTGTAAGTAGAGGTTCTAACTCTTGGAAAGAGTTCAACTTTTTGGGGTGAAAATTCTAACTTTTTTGGGTGAAGTTATTTATTAAATTCTACTGTTTTTCATTATCGGTTTAACTGGTTGGCAGTATCTCACTTTGTAAATTGATCAATAGTTACAAAAATAAAAAAATTACATCAATAGCCCAAAAGTAAAATTCGGTAATGTAACCTGGCCCCCGAATTTATTAAGAAAATAATTATTTTCTATAACTCAGTTGCATTATGGTGGTCCACATCCTTGCCAAATGTTAAATGCTCGAGACGGCGATGCATCTTATCCCTTAGTCTAATAGGGCATGCTCCTCTAGATGCCCTTTTTGGGCCGATCAATCAGTCCTTCACGTCTCGATAAAGATGCATATACTTGACCCTCAAGACATATCACACAGTAACAGAAGTCACGAGTGCCCTTCTGGCTATTGTGGTTGAGCTGCATAAGTATTGCTTGGATCAGCGGTCGAAAATGTGGGCTTTGGGGTTGTCTGTCCAATGGTGGTCCTGGTGACAAGGTTTCTGTCAGTGAGATCCTTTTTGTCCCTTCCTCCTTTTTGGTTGGCTTTTTTCTGTAAAATTTTGTGTGTTTTACATATTTTTTTTGTTTTTTTTTAAGAGGGAAAAGAAAAAGAGAAGGGAAACTTGAACCCTTAATCTCAAGAAGATAATTTTTATAAATAGTATTATTAGACTAAAGACTCATTAGTATGTGTTTTTTACGGATTCAGATCTCCTCTATTATCTCTTCACTTCAATTCCCTCAATACAGTGTTAAATGAATGATATATATATGTAAGATTCTGAATTTTAATAGATAAAATTTTTTTCTCAAGAAAAAATTCTTTAATAATAGTTAACACTCCATCAATAATAAAATGAATGAGAAAAAATATTGTCTATTAAAATTTAAAATATTACACATGTCATTCATCTAACACTCTATTGAGAGAAATTAAAGAAAAAGAGTAATAGAGGAGATCTAAATCCGTTTTTTTACATACTTACATGAGGGGATGCCTCCATCTCCTTTCCATTGAATTGAATCTCTAGTATATTCCAAGTGGGTTGCAAATTTGTGGGTTGAGTGAAGCACAACGAAACATTTTTAACCTAAATAAGAGATAAAACTTAGAGGGATAAAAAGTGTTTATCCATCAAAGTAATACATTGTGATTTTGGTTGAAAAATTAACCTCCTTCAAAGATGGGTAAAACTATATATATTGTTTACCGTTTTCGACCAATTTAATTTCTAAATCGTTTTGTTGGACAATTTTTTATTTTCATATACATTGTTTATCTATTCAACAATAAATGTCATAAAGGAATGGGAGTGAGAATGGTTATGGCTAACATGAGATTCACAGATTCATATGAGAAGTCAAAGGGTTGTACCTGGACAAGAATTTCTCGAAATTTAATGCTTTGTTTGATACGGTAGGAAAATGAAAGGATGAAAAATTAAATGGATAAATAAATTAGGGGTATCAAACGTGTCATGTTGGGTCATTTCGTGTTGGATTAATTTTGAATTTGTGTCAATAATTTCAAAACTCGAATCTGACATATTTAATAATCGTATTGAAATGTGTAGACACTAACATAACTTGGCTACTAAACAGGTTATTCCGAATCCGACTAGTTTGACATGTTTAATAAACAAGTCGTTTTCGAGTTAACACACATGTTATTTTATCTTGTTTATCATATATAATACATACTTATTTTAACACACATAACTTGTTTCTACACCTGTTCATTGTCATGAAATACACCATTCATTCAAAATTTCAAATAAATTTTTTACAAATAACATATCACATCTCACCATTGAAATTAATTAAAATGTATTTAAGTTTCAACCCAAAAATTAAAGTAAAAACTATATTAGTTTACTATCATAATAATGTTATGAACTATATTGTTAATTATCATAGTAAAAGTAAGAACTAATAAGTAATAATGTTAAAATCACATTAGTCATACATAAAAGACAAATTATATTGCCATAAACGGGTCTACAATGAGTTGGGTTCGTGTCTAAATCATGTCAACTCGTTTAAAATATATAGGTTAATTAGGTCAAAATCAGGTTGACTTTATTTAGACATGAACATGAAATAATTTTTTTTGTGTTTAAGTGTGTTGACCCGTTTTAACTCATTAACTTATTTAATTTTGTATCTGACCTATTAATTTAGTGTTCGGTTAGTGTTGAAAATTGACAGCTCTTATAATGTTTGATAAGGAAGAAAAATAAGATGGATGAAAAAGTGGATGAATGCGTTTTTCTTTCAACTCATCAAAATCAATCCCTCTAAAATTAGAAGGAAAATTAATTATTTGTGCTGAAATATATCTTATTTGTCTATATATCTTTTGATATATACATATATTATGTATATATTAATTTTATATATAAATACAATGATAAAATATGTATTTATATATTTTTTAAAAAAATTTTAAAATAAAAAATTAAAAAATATATATTTTTATCTTACCAAGATTCAAAAAAAAAATAATTATTTTTATTTTTTATCTATCCAACTAAACACAAAGAAAAGAAAGTGTATCATTCTTTTTTTTTTTTCTTGAAAGATAAAAAATGTATCTTTTACTTTTCATTCTTCCTGTTAAACAGAGCATAGAACATAAAAGAGATAAGTAGTAGATTCGTTTTGAAATGATTGATTTTCATACTCAAAATCTATAGCATATCATTTGATTGATAAGTATGCACTGTTCCAAGTTTTAATTCAAACAAATTCAACTATACTTGATTAAACTGAACTTGAAAGAACAAGATCCTTGTAATTTACCACCTTAAATACGATACTGTTTGTTAAACTGGATTTCCTTAAAGTTAAAAAGTTTATAAATCGGGTAATGCTATTTTCACCAAATATTTACATTACATTTTGTTCATGATCAAACAATACTACACATCTAGGGGTGTCAAATGTGTCATGTTAAACGAGTGAAAAATATGTAAATTTATACATGACCCATTTAATAAACAGGTGAAAAATTTCAACATGAACATGAACCGTTTAATAAATGGGTAACACGACATGACTTGTTTATCTCGTTTAGTTTTAATTTATTATTATATTTTTGTGGCTGCTACTAAATTAAAAAAAAAAATTTGTTGCAATCACTAAAAATAATATATATATATTAGTGGTTGTCACTAAAAAAAAAATTCTGCCTAATTTTTTTAAATAATTATTAATTTATAATTATATTAATTTTATATAAACGGATAAACAGGCGATAAATGAGTTGACAGGACTCACCCGAACACGACCTGTTTATTAAACGTGTCTAACAGGTTAACCTGTTTATCACTCGGACTCGTTAAGGTCTCATTCAAACCTGCTTAATTTGTGTCGATTAATCATGTCATGTCAGACTTTGACAAGCCTAAACACACCATCACCGTCAAATATTTGTAGGACTCACTTATACGATGATAGTGATGAATATGATATAGAGGCCACTAAATCTTGGGTTTTTGGCAAAACTTTGAAGAATGTCTCATAATTTTTAGATGCGTAGTAATTACCAAAATAAAAAATCTGAATTCATAAAAAATAGGCCCTATAAAAAAATTAGATTTAAGCCCAAATATTTTAACTTAAGTAGATTGAGCTTATTAATTCAGTCCATAAAATTAAAAGGTCCTAAAATTTAATTTTTTGAAAACAAAATGAAAAAGTTAACAAAAAAAGTTAAAACTAAAACTACTAAAACAAAAATCTTATAAACCCTAAAAAAAGTCAAATTCAAACTTATCATTATAATTTTTCAATCATTCTCATCTCTCTCCTCTCTCTCATCATCAAGTTAAACTATGGTAACAAAAGTATGAATATAAAAACCTTAATTAATATTTTTGCATTTTAAAAAAAATATATATAATTTAAATAAATTTATTATTAATATTAAGAATTTAAAAAAAAACTTATTTATTTTTTCTGCTTTAAGCCCCAAAATGTTTGGGGATGCCCCTCGTATGATACAGTTAATTAATACAGTTATCTGGTGAACAAAATCTCTTCGTTTGTAAAGGTCTATATACAAGCCACAGGAACTCCAATGGATTGCCTGTTGTCATTCCCCAAACGAATGGATTCCAGTAAAGGGCAAAATGCCATGATGACGGGCAATATAAATAGCTGCATAACAGATGCGCAGTGGGAAGATTGCTTCCCTGTGATACAATCACAGGTCTGAGTCATAGGAACCGTCTTTTTATATACTATGTACATTTAACATTCTCTACACTCTTATCATTGACGGTTTTAGTATGTGACCAGAAATGGGGCAGTCATTTGTCAAGAAAGAAGATAGCCATGTAACTCTCAAGGTGCAGAGAGAAAAAGAGTATGATATGATCTTCAGGATCCGACGCAACGTTCCCATTCGTAAGCTCGTGCTTGCTTACTGTGACCGTCTAGGACTGGACTATGAGACTATTAGATTCACTATTGATGGGTGCAAGGTTGGGAAAGACCAAACCGCAGATGATCTTGAGTTGGAGAATGGCGATACCATTGATGCCTTTACTGATCAGTCTGGTGGTGGTGCTGCTGCTATGTCTGCTTGTTCAGCCAAGTCATTTACATAGTTGTCTCAATGTTTGCTTATGTTAACTAATTAACACAAACATCTATACACATATGTATATGTATATATTGGATTCCTTTTGTTTTCTACCATCAATGACACACTCGATTTAGGCACACACTCGATTTAGGCCATTAACGGGCATGAAGTGCTGAAACAAGCATAGCTTTGTGTTTTTTCCCTTTCATTCTCTATTTCAGTACCTTTCACATCTGAATTTTTTATGGCATCAAAGCAGTCGAGTCATCGCCGCTATTCTGCTTCATCGAGATTGGGTGTAAAACAATATTATTAGGACCTAAAAATTTGATTTAATTTGTTGACTTAATTCACTGTGACATTTGGATTGATTGTAGGCTTATCAAACATTAGAATTTAGTATTGATCTAATGATTAATGTCTCTAGTTGTTAGATGGGAGATGCCTAAACTCAGCGTCTCCAGTGGAGTTCCCGAATACATGTCCTCTTTTTTTTTTTTTTTTCTCCTAAGGGGTGAATATTTGTCAAGGTGGAGATTGTTAGAATATGTGTGGCTCATATTTGCTGTGTGTATAATGACAAGGAGGGAAATGTCGGAGCGGAGCCCGCGACGGCATCTGCTTTGCGGGATTTGTATAAAGGGGATGTTGATTAGTTAGGGGTACGGGGGCAACGCCCCCGCGGTACGGTACATGGGTATTTTTGTAAATACGTCCGTATTAGAGTTATATAAATATTTAAGATGTAACCCTACTTTCAATAATGAAAAAAAACGGTCGCTCGCTCTCTTGGATGTAGGCACATTGCCGAACCACGTAAATCTCTGTGTGTTATTTTATCTTGTTTTCTTAATTGTTTGATTCCTTACTATTCACCATAATTGCTGCACGATCACAACAACTGGTATCAGAGCTAGACTACGATGTCTGGGATTACCTCTACAAAATTCGACATCATGAAGTTCGACGGAACTGGGAATTTCAGATTATGTAGAGGAGGGTGAAGGACCTGTTAGTGTAGCAGGGCATGGTGAAGGCGTTAGACGGAAAACAACCGGCAGGAACGGACGACATGGATTGGAAAGAATTGGAAGCGAAGGCTGTGGTGACTATTAGGCTTTGTCTGGCTGATGAAGTGATGTATCACGTCATGGATGAGGAATCACCGGCAGAAGTTTGGTTAAAACTGGAAAGTTGGTATATGTCCAAGTCGTTGACAAACAAGTTCTATTTTAAGCAAAAATTATATGGTCTTAAGATGTCAGAGGGCTCGAATTTGACCCAACACATCAACGTGTTCAATCAGATCATCAACGATCTGAAGCGAGTTGATGTGAAGTTCGAAGACGAAGACAAGGCGCTAATGTTGCTGAATTCCATATCGGTGTCTCCTACGTACGGGAATTTGGTTACGACTCTGATGTGGGGGAAAGAAACCCTCGAGTTGGAAGATGTCACAGGTGCTCTGTTAGGTTTTCATCAGCGGAAGAAAGCTAGTGATGAGGCTTCACAAGGTGAAGGGCTTGTGGTGAAAGGTAACCAGGAACATGGAAGAAGCAAATCTCGGAATGGATTGGGTAACAATAAAGCCCGGTCCAAGTCGAGGAAGAAGAAGAAGGACGTCTCCGTCTCGTGTTACAAGTGCGGGAAAAATGAGCACTTTAAACGGGACTGTCCAGAGAAAAAGAAAGAGGATTCAGAGGACAAAGAGGGTTCATCAAAGTCTGCAAACGTAGTGGAAGAAGAAGATTCAGAGAGTGGTGACGGTGATATGCTTTCTGTTTTATTTAGTTCAGATCGTTTAACAGATTCTTGGATTATGGATTCAACATGTTCCTATCACATGACACCCAACAAAGATTGGTTTGACACCTACAGGTCAGTATATGGGTAATGATGCATCTTGCAAAGTTGTTGGAATAGGAAATATTAGAATTAAGATGTTTGATGGTATGGTTAGAATGTTGTGTGATGTTAGACATGTACCGGATCTAAGGAAGAATTTGATTTCAGTGGGTACTTTGGATTGTAATGGTTATAGTTACAAATCTATAAGTGGAGTAATGAAAGTGAGTAAAGGCATGCTGACAGTGATGAAGGGACAGAAAGTAGCAGGAAACATTTACAGACTGCTGGGTACTACATTTGTAGGTGGAGTTGCTGCTGTAGAGTCTGAATCAGATAATACAGTCTTGTGGCATATGCGGCTGGGTCATATGAGTGAGCGTGGGATGATAGAGCTTCATAAGAAAAATCTATTGAAGGGTGTCAAGACATGCAAGCTCAATTTTTGCAAATATTGTGTTCTTGGAAAACATAATAGGGTGCAGTTCAAGACAGCCACACACAAGACAGAGGGGGTTCTCGACTATGTCCATACAGATGTTTGGGGACCATTAGCGTAGTATCACAGGGAGGATACATGTGTTTTGTGAGTTTCATTGATGATTACTCACGAAAGGTCTGGGTGTACTTCATGCGACACAAGTCAGAAGCGTTTGCCAAGTTCAAGCTGTGGAAAACTGAAGTAGAGAACCAGACAGGGAGGAAGATTAAATGCCTCAGGTCAGATAATGGTACTGAGTACACAGATTCAAAGTTCCAGGAGTTGTGTGAGCAGCATGGGATCAAGAGACACTTCACAGTCCGCAAGACACCACAACAAAATGGTGTAGCCAGAAAGGATGAACAGAACGATAGCCGAAAAAGCTCGGTGTCTCAGGTTGAATGCAAGGCTTGCAAAGAATTTCTGAGCAGAGGCAGTGAATATGACATGTTTCTTGATTAACAGATCACCGAGGGCAGCACTAGATGGAAAAGTATCAGAGGAGGTGTGGACAGGCAGTGAGGTAGACTACTCTGGTTTGAGAGTGTTTGGATGTCCAGCCTATGTACATGTTTCTAGTGAGGAGAGGTCGAAGCTTGATGCGAAGTCTAGACAGTGTATCTTTCTGGGATATCAAAAAGGAGTGAAAGGCTTCAAGCTCTGGGATCCGAAGGCAAACAAGATGGTGATCAGTAGAGATGTGATTTTTGATAAAAAAGCCATGTTGCAGTGTACTCAGGAAGAACAGAAACAAGTACCAGAAAACTGTAGCACTAATGACCATGTGGTGCAGGTGGAGCTAGAGAATCATGGTAGAGAAGAGGATGCTCAGCATGTAGAGCGTTCTATCTCAAGTGATCAGCCGCATCATAGTATAGCCACAGACAGGCCCAAACGCAATATCAAACCGCCTACTAGGTATGGTTTTGAAGATTTGGTTTCTTATGCGCTTATTACTAGTAGCGGGGATCCTACAACTTTTCAGGAGACAATACAAAGCCAAGAGAAAAGTAGATGGATGGGTGCTATGGTGGAGGAGATGGAGTCTCTGCATAAGAACCAGACGTGGGAGTTGGTGGAGCTTCCCGAGGGGAAGAGAGCAATAGGGTGCAAATGGGTGTATAAGAAGAAAGAAGCAGTATCAGAAAAGGAGGGAGAAAAATTCAAGGCTCGTCTAGTAGCAAAGGGTTACTCACAGAGAAAAAGGATTGACTATAATGAGATCTTCTCCCCCGTGGTCAGACACACTTCCATCAGGACAGTGTTGACACTAGTAGCACATTCAGATATGCAGTTGGAGCAGATGAATGTAAAGACAGTTTTCCTTCATGGCGACTTGGAGGAATGGATTTACATGGTACAACCAGAAGGGTTCAGTCTCCCTGGAGAGGAACATTTGGTCTGTAATTTGAATAAATCACTTTATGGGCTGAAGCAGTCTCCGAGGCAGTGGTACAAGCGATTTGACTCTTACATGATCCGAATTGGCTACAAAAGGTATGAGTATGATTGCTGTGTCTATGTAAAAAGGCTTGATGATGATTCATTTATTTTTCTGTTACTTTATGTGGATGATATGTTGATTGCTGCCAAGAGTATGAATGAGGTCAACAAGTTGAAGACTTTGTTGAGTAGAGAATTTGACATGAAGGATTTGGGTGCGGCCAAGAAAATTCTTGGGATGGAGATTCGCAGGGACAGAGCTTCCAGGAGATTATGGCTATTTCGGCATAGCTATGTTGAGAAGGTGTTGGACAGGTTCAGCATGAGTTATGCAAAATCAGTAAGTACACCTTTGGCGAATCATTTCAGATTGTCTACCGCTCAGTGCCCGAAGACAGATGATGAAGTTCATGACATGTCAAAGGTCCCATATGCTAGTGCAGTGGGGTGTTTGATGTATGCTATGGTTTGTACAAGACCAGATTTGGCACAAGCTGTCAGCATGGTTAGCAAGTTTCTTTCAAATTCGGGTCGACAGCATTGGGATGCAGTCAAGTGAATTTTCAGATATTTGAGGGGCACTACAGACTATGACATCATGTTTAGCAGACAACAGAGTGACGCTTCAGTTATGGGATATGTGGATGCAGACTATGCGGGGGACTTGGATGACAGGAGGTCTACCACAGGTTATGTGTTTACTCTTGTGGGAGGACCTATTTGTTGGAAGTCAATGGTACAGCCTATAGTTGCACTATCTACTACTGAGTCAGAGTATATGACAGTAGCTGAGGCTGCCAAAGAGGCTTTGTGGCTTACAAGTTTAGTCAAGGAGCTGGGTGCCCAACAAGGTGGAGTTCAATTGCATTGTGACAGTCAGAGTGCCATTTATTTGGCAAAGAACCAGATGCATCATGCGAGGACCAAACATATAGATGTGAGATTTCATAAGATCAGAGAACTGATTTCTTCTGGTGAACTATTATTTGAGAAAGTTCACATTTATGAGAATGCAGTAGACATGTTGACAAAGTCTGTTACTACAGACAAGTTCAAGCACTGCTTGGACTTGATTAATGTCTCTAGTTGCTAGATGGGAGATGCCTCACCTCAGTGTCCCCAGTGGAGTTCCCGAATACATGTCCTCTTTTTTTTTTTTTTCCTCCTAAGGGGTGAATATTTGCCAAGGTGGAGATTGTTAGAGAATGTGTGGTTCATATTTGCTGTGTGCATAATGACAAGGAGGCAGATGT